TCCTGTATATAAGCACATGTAAATACATACATGCCAAGCATTACATACATGTAATATCTTGACGTTGAGCCCAAGTCGGAACTCAAATTGAAATGCAAGCCGGAAGGAAATGAACAAAAGTGCCTTCTCAAATGGCCAAACCTAGCTGCATGCCCAGCTCCTTCTCTCTGGCTAGTTGGAAGCTATACCAAACTACGACGCTTATTTGTCACTAGGGCTGTCACCATGCAAAAATGTAGATTTTGGTGTGCCATCTTTCAGGGTTGTGTCTACAAGAGCAGCTTGCACTTAGGGATGTCATAGGGATGTATAAAAGGTCGCCTTTTCTTCACAACGCCCTAATTATAATGTTGCCTTTTTCTAGGGTCTCTAATTGGGATTTGCAAGTAGGATCATGTTGTCAAATTTATCATTAATTCATGGCTGTTTAAAAAAAGCATCAACAGAAATATTAATTATTTCAATTGTTAATAACGTTCAATGCGAATCAGTCAAATTCAATTGGAACTTTTGGTATTGTAGAGGTCAAGCAAACGTGTCTTATTCAAAGGCATTCGGATTCGAATCATAGCCGAACACAACAATAAATCTTCTTGTTGCACACGCCTCAGGCAAGACTTTGCACAATAACAAAAAATAAAGCAGTAGAATCCCAAATTAAGGCAGGATATAAAACTTTTCAACGAAGCTTACACGCACTTTTCTTTTAATAAACAATAAATACAAATGTAATCTTCGCTTACAAACTATAAATTGAGACTAGCTCCCACCTAATCTGCAGCTCATTTATCCTACGAATAAATTTATATCCGGCTGACACTGTGCATGACCAAGTTAATGTTTAAATGAGTAGCTGCATCAAGGGTATATAACAATGGAACGACAAATAAATTACCAAAAATGAAAGAAGAGCAACAGACAATAGGGCAAAAAATCCCGATAAACGGAAATAAAAAACAAGAAACGTGCACAAATCTAATTTCCAAATATCACGCGCACAGCCAAACAAAAAAAATTCAAAGGAAAAAAAGAATACATATACAGTATGTCAATAAAGTGTTTTTACTAACAAAAAAAAACTAATTTTTTGGGTTTAGTTGAAAATAAATGTACCTAAAAGTGAGAATTTTTTTTCAATTATAATTTATTTCGATTCTATATTTCTCCTAGAACTTAATGGCAAAAAGAATTGTTAAATAACATTACCCAAACATTTTATAAAATTAAAAAACTAAAAACATTCACATTTTATGCTGTCAATAAAGTGTTTTTACAGCTACGGTAAATTGTTTTGCCGTTCTCTTTTGGGTGATCCCGTTAGATTTGGGCCCATGCGTTTTGGCTTCTCTTGTGTCTTCGACTTTTCTTGTCATTTTCTATTGCAATTTATAACGTTTTGCTTTAATTTTATGAAAAATAAAATGCCAGGAAAAAGAACAACTTTTGAAGTCGCTCAGCTGGTGTATTATAACCATCAGATGGGACGTCAAGTCTCGGAACTGGCTGATATGTTTAATTTATCAAAAGCAACGATATACAACATATTAAACAGAGCCAATAAGGAAGATAGGCTAGAGGCAAAGCCAGTATGTGGTCGACCCTGCAAAATTTCTGACAGAGATAAGCGAAAAATTCTGAGAAAAATTGAGAAAAATCCACAAATTTCGCTTAGGGATATTGCTCAGGAGTTCAAGGAAGAAAGTGGTGTTGATGTGTCACATGAAACTGTCCGAAAATTACTGAATTCCAATGACTACACATCACGAGTTGCCAGGAAAAAACCTCTACTATCGGCGGCGAATATTTTGAAGCGGCTATCGTTCGCTCAAGTCCATGTAAATAGTTCGAACGATTTTTGGAGTAACGTCATATTCTGTGACGAAAGCAAGATGATGCTATTCTACAACGATGGGCCATCCAGAGTCTGGAGAAAGCCACTAACAGCGTTGGAAAACCGCAATATTATTCCAACCGTTAAATTCGGAAAACTATCAGTGATGGTGTGGGGGTGTATTTCGAGCAAGGGTGTAGGAGATTTGACCTTCATTGAGAATACCATGGATGCTAGACAATATCTGAGCATTTTACAGACACATCTCGTCAGTAGTGCACAGAAATTTGGATTCTATGAGGACAATAAGCCAATTTTTAAATTTTACCAGGACAATGACCCGAAGCATAAAGCTCATATGGTAAGAGTTTGGCTGTTGTACAACTGTGGAAAGGTGTTAGACACTCCACCACAAAGTCCAGATATGAATCCAATAGAAAATGTGTGGTCATATTTGAAAAAAAAAGTCGCAAAGCGGAGTCCAAAATCAAAAACTGATTTAAAAGCTGCTGTACTGGAAGAATGGCAGAAGATTCCAGAAACATACATACAAAACCTTATTGTTTCAATGAAACGGCGATTGCAGGCTGTATGTGACGCTAATGGCAGCCACACAAAGTATTAAAAAAAAATATTCCTGTTTTTTTAACATTGTTATTTAGTAATAAAGTTTCGTGTAAAAACACTTTATTGACAGCATAAAATTTGAATGTTTTTAGTTTTTTAATTTTATAAAATGTTTGGGTAATGTTATTTAACAATTCTTTTTGCCATTAAGTTCTAGGAAAAATATAGAATCGAAATAAATTAGAATTGAAAAAAAATTCTCACTTTTAGGTACATTTATTTTCAACTAAACCCAAAAAATTAGTTTTTTTTCGTTAGTCAAAACACTTTATTGACATACTGTAAGCAGAAATGGAGAGCCGGACTAGCAACAACACCAATAACAACAACAAAGGCAGGCCATAGATGACGACGACGTCAACGGCGTAAAAATTGAAATGAAGATAGACGCCAGCAGCAGGAGCAGCAGCAGCAGCAACAGCAGCAACAGCAGCAACATCGACAGCAGCAACAATAGCAACAACAACAACAACCACACACTGGCAAGAGCAACAACAAAATGAAACTTTTCAATATCCGCATCCGCTCATGAATAATAATTTATAATGGCAGTCGTTCGCTGCCGCTGTAAAAAGCGACTCTCACTTGGGTCCAGGCATCAAGACGAGAGGCAATTGAGCTCATCCTGAACCACAGCTGAGCACGGCGAATGTCTCCAGCCCGCAGCCAGCATATTACTTAACCGACGCAAATAAAAAAGCAAGCAGCGCGCATGGAAAAGCCAAGGAAAAGCCTGTGGAAAAACAGACTGACTAACTGACTGCCGTCGCACTGACAGGCACGACAAGCAGGTGGCATATATAGCGTCTATAGATAGATGGCATGTAAGTTATGGGAAGAGTTTTCAGGTTTCAATTTTCAGATTTGAGCTTGGGTTTTCGGCGTTGTATGCCAATGAGACGTCTCTTAGCAGGGCCAACACCAAACTGTTGTTAGTTGTTTTCGCACAACTGTACCTGGCAATGCGCACTGTAAATTTTGATTGTGCATTTTAAACGGATTATTGGCAAACCTTGATGTGTTCGCATGGCACTTAAATACAACGCATAATATTGAATAGCTTCCATTTTTGGCTTCGTGCTGGCTTATTGCTCGCTCGTCACTGCTGACATTGGCAATTTCCAGCGATTTGCATGCGCAACGATAATGATAAAACTTTTTGGCAGCGACTTAAAAATCAAAGCTCCTTGTGCCGCTTACCGCTTACCGCTTACCGCTTGCCTCGTGCCACACTCGCTTAATTCTTTGGCAGCACTTCGGGTCTCCATTAACCGCACATCAAATTCTTATTAGCGCCCATTGCCAGCGCTCAATTTCAATTGATTCGTTTTGCCAGATGCCAAAACTTTTCCAATCAGACCATCGCCAACAATTCCTATCCTTCTTGGGCCTCCCCTTTTCTTGGGGCTTTTCTTCGCGTCGCTCTTTTTGATATGTTTTCATTTTTCTCATCGTTGCGTGCACGCTAAAAACCCAATTAAACGCGCCATTAAATTATTTTGCAATTTGCATATATTTCGTATTTCGACTCAATAAAATTTCACACCTGAGCGCCTCTTAACACACACACCCCTCGCACACACATTGACACGCAGACGTTGCAACCCGACAGCTTTGCAAGTTTTGCTCTCCTTTTGATTTTTGTTACCTTTTATTTTTGTTTTGCCTCCTTGTATTTCGTTTTAGCTGGCATTTATTTGATTTGTTTTCCCCCAATTGTTGTTGGCTTGCATATTCTTTAATATGCGTGGTTTTTTATTGTTTTTTATTCTGAATTCAGTTTATTCGGTATTTCAATAGAAATGTGCTAACAGGCGTAACCACTAAAAGTAAGTCGATCTATCTAGCCCGTTTGTCCTCCTGCTCCTCTGAATGAATGAGATAATCTCCTGGTTAAGCAAAAGAAAAAAGCCATAGTCTTCAAATTTGGAAATTGATTTTATGTAACAGGCAAGATCAAAAAAATGTTGAAAAAACAAAATCAATCATTGTCGGCAATATGATTCGTGTTTCATGTTCGTATTTGTTTTAGCTTACGGCTTACGAATGGGATTTGACACTACGAATTAATATAGCTTCGGCTTCAAGTTCATTATAAGGAAAATAATTTGCCATTAGGGAAACAAAATATGCGTGTTTAAACAGAATTTGACGCCTCATAGCTTGTTATAGCTTAATCCAGAGGGTATTTTGGCTTGTTTAATCAAATGCCTAATAAAAACGAGTGTAATTTAGCACCTTTGCTGTTTAATTCAATTTTTTGACTACGTCTTGCGCAGCAATTCTGCTTGTCCTTACTCCAGATGTCTTATATACAGCTTGCTTGCCCCTGACTTTATTTTTGTTTTGATTTTATTTTACATCATAAGATCGGGCATTTGTCGATCCGTCGGAAAACGAGTTTTTGGATGAAAAAACGTCTAAGTTTTGAAATATTCCTAAAAACTGCTATTGGTCTACAAGGGCGATGTTGCCTATGTTATTCTATTATGCTTTCCAATTATTTAAAAATGATTTTCTGTTTTCCATTTTTCACATTTAGCAACTGGGTATCTTAAAAACTTGAATCGTTTGGACGTTATCTTATGATACTTGGCGCTCCTTGGCGTTCGAACTCTTTGTTGCAACTGTGCAAGCATTATCGTGAGACACAGACGGAACTCAGAGGTAAGTGGAGCTACTTAATAAATAAATATTTATAAGATGCTCAGATTGATTTAATGCACTGCCATGTCCTTCCACCCGCAACCGTCCAGCAATTCGACTGCTCTTTAAATGACCCAGAAATGTATGCAGCTCGCATATAACTCTTCAATTTGTTACCCTTTCTGTTTGTTTTTTTTTTCTTCTTTCTTAATTTAACTGCTTTGCACCCGCCCGTCCATGCCTACCCCCACAACCTCAAACGTCGTGCAATGCACGCAAAGCCGCGCACATAAAATAATAAATAAATAAAAATAAATAAAAAAAAAACCGTCTACATGAGGCGCATATTTAATTTCCCAAGCAGTCCAGCACCAGCCCCATCCCAAATTCCGACCCCAAGCCCCACAGATCCTGTCACAAAAGGATTTCCACTGCCTGCTGTCGGCCTGGGTTGTTCAGTTCTGTTTTTTTTTTTGGTTTTTCTTCTTCTTTTTTGTATTTTATTATTCGCTTTGAGCCTTTCTCATACGCTATATTCGTGTTTTTAAATTTCATTTTATGCATACTTTATTTTTATTTCTTTCATTATTAATCGCATGTTTACACACCAGAAACGCACCGTGCATGGACGCATGTGTGTGTGTGCGTGTGCGCGGGGCGTGGTCGGGTCGCAAATTCTTTAAATTTCCAAGCACGCATCGGGCAATGTTTTTCCAAGTTTTTGTTTTCTTTGCTTCTGCGCGCGGGCATAATGAAGTGCGATCATAAATCACATTAATTGCTCGCTAGATGGCGCTGTCAGCGTTCAATATGGCGACGCCTAAGTCAAAATGGCGCAAGCACACACACACACACACACACACACACACAGGCACACGCAAGTACACACGGAGTAAAATACATGTACATTAAGGACGAAATTAAATAGAGCGACAAAATAAGAATGATAGCGAAATAGACAGGGACACAGAAAACAGAGAGAGAGAGAGATATATATAGTTAGTAGCTGAGCGCGCATCAAAGTTTAATTAAAATTTTACTTGGCCAAAGTTGTTAAAATGTAATTTAAAATTGACAAAAAGCAACAGCAGCAGCAACAACAACAGCACAAGCAATCACAACAACAACTAAACAAACACAAACTAAATTGAACGCCAAAACCTAACGAAACGTGCAAGGAGTCAGCGCACATAGAGGGAGCGACGCTGGGTAGTGACAACTGCCAGAAGCAACCACGAAATCTGCTGGCAACAAGCTATCTACACACATTTAAACGCGCGCACACACACACACACACACATATGCAGTGTATTATCAGTGCATTGTCATGCGCCACGCCCATAAGCCCAATTCCTGATAAAGTTCAAAAGTGAATGCTTTTTAGTTACACAAATTGCCAAACAAACAAATACGCCAAACGCAACATAAAAAAAAAACTGTTCGCCCACACGCGCAACCCACACAACCGCATTGTGCAACCACAGAGTGCAGGCCATGTACCACACACACACACACACACACACACACACACACACACACACACACAAACACACACACACCCACAATCAGGCACACAGATACAAGCTTATAGCCAAAAGATAGCCAGCACACGGCCCACTTACCGTCAGAGTCAGCGGCAGAGTCGCAGTTTTCTGTTTCCAGCTTCATTTCCCAGGCGCACCCAACGCCGCCCGTCGAACAAGCGATTAGCTAAAGAAAAACTAAAAACATTTTATCCCAACAAAAAAAAAAAAAAAAAAAAAAATACGTGTAAGTGCGCCAAAAATATAACTGCTTTTAGTTTCCACTTCCGTTTTAATGCACCGCACAACGCGGTCGCAATGCCCAAAAATAGCTTTGCTCGAATTGAGCTAACGCTGCTGCCCTTTACTGAGCATATTGACTATCTGTTAAAAGCGATTGAATACAATTGAATGTAGCATTGGAAAGATCATGAATGCAGTGGAAAGCGGTTGAACGTTCTTCGTAGTTGAATGAGTGTAGTTGATAGTAATAAAATGCAGTAGAAACAAAATTGAATTCGTTGAGTCCAGCTGATAGCAAGTGAATGATATTGAAAACAAATGAATTCAGCTCAAATATTTTTATTAATTTAAGTAAAGTTTAATTATGGTAAAAGCGATTTCAAATATTAAACGTAATTTAACGTAGTGTAAAGCATTTAAAACAGGACAGTGCTGGGAAAAGAACTAAAAGTCGTTGTTAAAAAAGAATGAAGTAGAAAAAGGAAAGCGAATACAGTACCTTTTGCAAGAAATTAAATACAGTTAAAAGCAATTAAATTGAAGCAGAAAAACCAGTTGTCAACTGCAGGTGGAAATCAATTAAGGGCAGTTGAATGCACGCTAAGGCACGCAGAAAATATTGAAATGAAAATTGTTGATTGAAAACCAGCTTGAAATAACAATATTTTTAGAAATCAAACACTTCTGAAAGTTAGACATGATTGAAACTTGATTTGAAATAAAGCTCTTAAAAGCAGTATTGTTATTATATTAAGACTATTTTGCAGCTATATTGAAACACCATTGAAATTGCAATGAAACACAATTAAAAGTAATTGGAAGCTCTTAATTTAAAACTAAATTCAAACATTCTTCATACTGTACTTAAGCAGCGATTAAGTTAAATGATTCCTGTATTGGAATTGTATTGCAACTATATCGAAACTGAATTGGTGCTGCATTGAAATTATATTGAAACTCTATTGAAATCGCATAGAAAGCACATTGAAAGCGTATACAAAGCTTGTTGCAAACAGCTTCGATGCTGTTAACATTGTGGACCGTGGCTCTCAAGTTGGTCACATTGGTTGAATTGTTTAGCTCGCTGGTTAGTTGGTTGGCTCTGATTCGCCTGGGGTTGCCTGTCGAAGTTGGCGCTCTGTTGTTGGCATTGCCCTTGTTGTGGCTGTTGTTACTGAGACTGTGATTAACGCTGCGATCCGCCTGGATCCCCGACACGAACCGAAAGCACTTCGACCTCCGGACAATGGCGATGCCTGCTGACCAGACTACAATTTGCACCTGTTTGTGTATATTTTATGTAAGATAATTCAATTCAATATTCGGCTGACATTTGAAATTTAGTTCGCGCAAAGCGAGGACAGTAAATTGTTTTGACATTGGTTTAATTGTGTGAGAAAGAGTCAGCAAGGTAGAAAGCGAGTAAGAGGGAGAAAATAACAAGACAGAGACATAGGCAACTGCACACGTTGGCCAAGCGGAAATGCCTTCCCAACCGGAAACACAATTTCAAATCTCTCGTGACGTAATATGAGCGACTTCCGTTTGCACTTTAAGCATCCGGTGAGTGACACAACAAGTTGCTTTTGTCCGCTGACTTTCAGTTACCCAGCTCATCAAATTCTCAGCGAAAAAAGCACACTGCAAAAAATGGATTATCAACTAGTTTCAAGATTTGTAAGAAATAACACTAAATAATGCTCATAAAGTCGAAAAACCAACAATTTGCAAGAGACTAGAAAGTCCAAGAGCGAAACACATAAAAATCAGACTAAAAACAATTTAAAAAAGTATTTTTAAAAAAATTTAGCCACAAGTGTATAACAAAGATTGTTTTAGATTTAATTCCAGCTTACAGTGAAATCAACCAAATGTAAGTTTAGGATAATGATATAAGAGACTCCTTAAAAAGTGAAATACTTTAAGTGTAACTCTCTGCGCAAACCTCTTGAGGCCTTTAACTAGTTATTTATGTTTTGTTGAAAATAAGTTTTCCAGCACAGATAACTAATGATTAAAATAACGTGGAAAAGAACCCACTCAAGTTTGGTGAGTAGCCAAAGTCCATAAGATCCCCAGCATGGGAATAGGACAAGTTTTTAGGGGAATAATCAAGTAGTCGAGGTCAACGTCATCGTCATCGCCGCTGTGTCTCCAGCTCCATGTGGGCCCTTTAATTATTTATGTGCATTCGGCTTTGAGCGGCGACTGGGCCAGTGCCATTTTGCATGTGTTTTTCACGTGTTTTAATTAGTTTTGCAGAGTTCATCAACTGAGACCACCTCCCGACCAACCCCCTTTGCACAGCACATTCCACAAAAGTTGTGAGTTATGGCGCCCGCCCATGGCAAAGTCCTCGCAAATAATGAACATCACAAATCAACAGCTCGTCATTAGCACACAATGCCTTTGCCAGGTCAAAGCTGCCATAGTATTTTAGACGTAGGAGACCCAATTCTTTGGGTACATGGGATATGGTATATGGTATGTAGCTGGTGTCTATAATTTTTCAGCTCACTGAAGCAAGGTGTTGGGCCGCCCAGGTAGGGCCTGGGAACTCCGCCTACAAGTAATAACAGCAGCTGTTGACCAAATTAATTGTGCAGTGTGTGTGAATGGAGTGTAAAAGAGAACAAACACATACTCATACACAGGTGTATGTGCGTTGAGTATATACATATTGATAACAAAAAAAAAAACATTTAAAAAATTCTGTACTCTTTCTCTACTTATTGACGTGTATCGATATTGTATTATTGCGTGTTTCAATGACATTAAATATTTATTAACATGACTTCGCTTCTGAGGCCGATGAATTGTTTAAGTGACAAAATCATCAAGCCGCGAAATAAAGAGAATCCCACAGGAAAAGACATTGAATAAAGCTAATAGAAGCTTAAGTTAAAACTTTTTATTAAATTATTCGAAACTTAAATTAACTATTCCTCGCATTTGAATTACGTTGCATAATGCCGCGGGGTTGACAAAGTGGCCCATATGCCATTCATAAGAATGGTTCGCAAGCCTTAAATGCCTTAGATGCAATCCATGCATAAAGTGCATTCATGCGTCCTAAAATTTGACCGCCCATCACAACTGCCTTATCTACGATTGTTTGTTTTAATAAGGCACAAGGTAAACAGCAGCCAGTTCTGAATCGCGATAAATTGAGCAAACAGCAAATAAAATATTAAAAATATTAAAAAAGTAAAAAAAAAACACACACACACAAAAACCAAGCTGCTGATAGATACC